TAGAACAACACCACCTTGTACATCTTATTCTAATCTTTCAATATTACATTTTCCATCACAATTTCAACACTTGTACGTGCAATAAAGACTTTTCGTATTATTCCTTTAAGTGTCAAAATCGCATTGTCTATCTATCTTTTAGACCGTTTCCTGCTGCTATTAGTTATCAAGTTTCCCTTAACGACAGCTTTCTCAGCAGACTTTCAAATCAATGGAATATCATTGTCCCCTCCTTATCGCGCCCAAACAAACGTCAATAATTAGGAAGGCCGATATCGAAATTTCTACGAAAACATCCGGGCGACGCGAAACTGCTCTCCTAGGTGAATAAACCCATAGATGTAAAGCGTGGACATCCAGTCGAGCGAGCCACGCGATAAGATATAAGGAGACGCCGCGTGGAGCACCTTGGGACCAGTTGAGGTCTTAATTACTACCCTCTCATGCCGGAATGCCGCGTTATCGTGCGGTTACCTTTACTCGGCCGTGTACCTCCACGAGCCGGACATTGAATTACACTTTCCTTTCTCGTGGACCATTCGGCCGCGCATCACCGCTGAGTAAACGTGTTAATTACACCTGACGTTTCAGGGTTCCGAGAAAGAACGGGGACCGGCCCCGGTGTTTAGACATTTCAGGCTGGAAGAGGTAAATTATAGAGGGTTACTCACAACTGTGCCTTCATATCTTCGAGAAGGACTAAAGAAATTCAGAATATTATGTCAAAACATTACCAAACAATGTTGATTCTCTTTGTCTTCAATATCCCGAGAAATTATTTTACAATCTTTCTTACGTTTCGTTATAGATTTTTTGATGATTATAATGTTGATTTTAGGGGAATTATTGGTGAATTTGTCGATGCGCTGTTTTGAAGTTGTTGTTGAAAATCGTCAAAATCATTTTCATCATCAGAATTAATATTTAGGGAAATGATTTTAGAAAAGTCGACTATTAGGAAATCGAAACTACCATTCTTCTACTTCTAATATTATTTAACAAGGGATTTTTGATGTACTAGTTTTTATATGAATTGAACAATATATAATCTAAAGCAACACATAGGTTACGGAGGTCACGTAAAACTATGTCAATAATAAATAAAAACAGCAAAGTGACCTGTGTTTCTCTGGTACAGTTGAAGAAAAATGGACGAGAAATTTAATGGAGTTATAAATACGCGCAGAATAAATTTCTATTTTCGTTCCTGGTCGTCTTAGGTTTGCACGACAAATTGATTACTCAACTATGTATGCATAACGTCGGGACGGCTTTGATCATAAGTATGTCAATGGCTAGGTTTAATAGACCACTGAGGAGCTATCTTGACTGTGGTGCCTGTTCACATCGTTGTCTATCTACACTGGAACGTATTCAAAGACACACTGTCGTTATTTCAGCTCCAGTTAATGTACAAAGTTTACAAGAAGATCTGTGAAACATTTTCCGCTTTCAGTAACCATGAAAACATGAAACTCTACTTTCCTATGAAAAACTGTTTACTAACTGATTAAGGAGAATAATAACCCATAAGAAATCATTAGGAAAGTAGCAACAAAGGCTCAAAAACACATGTTAAGAGAAACTTTTAAAGTATCTCCTACTCTAAAAACACATTTCAAAATAATCTTCCAAAGATTATTGTCTAATGTCTTCATCTCAGAGAAATAAATTATTATCTTTTTGTTACACAACGTCGCAACTGACATTTGCATCTCTCACTTCTTTTATTCGCAAACCTCAAAGAGTTCAATGAGAAGCGAACAATGCAAATAGTGGTTAACCAACGCCTCAAAGAAAGTCCAGAGCACAGAAAATCGGGAATAGTAATCGGCGGCCGCGGTTTCACGCTCACACGACCAAACGAGTAGCCAAAGTTTCATGAGAATCTATATCGCTCCTGTTCCGTTCATCTAGTCGCGGCGCATAGCGCTGATAAATGCGCGCTCGACAGGAACGCGCGGGATCGGGCCCGACCTCGGTAATAGACAGTTTACATTCAGCAATTCTGGTGAACAGCGGAACGTTTACTAGCGGTAACCGATCGTTACACCCGCCATCCATTTCCCCTGTATCCAGACCACTCATGAGTTAGTGGATCGCACGGCCAACCGGCTAACCGGCCGGCACGGACCTACGAAAATTTACAGACTAACGATCAAAGGTTCGCAAGAACCGGTATTAGTATCATCGCGTGTCGCTGGCCCGATTGTTTGCGTAAACCCGCGTCCCCCGGCTCGGCTCTGTGAATAATCGCGGATAGCCAGAGTCACGAAGTATCATTGGGAGATGACTTGATGTCAAGCGGGACGGTATCGGCGTAGAGGGACTGTTCTGCTGTGTATTTTATTTATACTCTTGATTAAACATGCGTGACCGTATTACAGAATAGCAAATTATCACGCTAAATAAGATGAGAATTGAACAATCAGACTCACATCGAGCGATCTTCCTGCGGTATGTTATTGTCCGAGGATCCCTCGTCCGAAAATATGGCGCTGTCCGAAACACGGTTCTAAACCCGGCACGAGTGAGCAAAGGGAGAGATCGGTCTGGAAGTTCGGCCACCTCGCTTAATTATGTTCCGACCAGGCATGCATTATGTATTTCACTTTATCGAAGAGTTCCGGCTGCCTCTGGAGAACTTTTGTCTTTCCCCGCGGGAAACTTCGCCGCGGAGTTTCAATTGTAATGTACCACTTAAAATGAATTATCGATAACTTTTCCGAAAATCTTCTCCCTCGCTTTCTCGGGTATCCTTATCAAATAGGGACGATCCTCTCCGACGTTTGTCTTCTTTCTTATTACAGTAATGAAACAAGGGATAGAGAAAAGTTTCGAAACGAATCGAAGCTACGATACCCGGAGACAAAATGGCCGCTGGGAATCAATCGATCCGAACCGGTGTGTTATTTCTACATTATTTCGTTCGGGTCTCGTTGGCGGTGGATCGATGATTACATTGAAGCGCACCGAACGGGAACGTGCTTTTGAAGAACTCGCCCGACAGTGGTTGACGAAGAGCTCTCGCAGCCAGCGTCTTCAAGTTTTTCGTGGGCTGACACGAACCAATGGCGAGCATCAGGAACATCGGCGTGCCAGATGCACGCAAGAAAGGGAAGTTAGGGTTTCAGGTGAAAAGGGCCCGGGCATGCACGTGCACGGGACCGATCCCCGAGCTCGTTTTAGACGCAGCCAGGCGCGAGTAAGGCACTTTGAAATGAGATAGGTTCGTTATTTTGATAGCTTCCTCAATGCTCGCTGGCGCGTCCATGATCGTGCCCGCTTTAGGCACCGCGGAAACGGATTAAGCACGGTGCAACGAAGTTCCGCGAAGTCGTCAAAAGTTCGCAGACTCCTTACAGGCATTCCGAACGCTCGTTTAACGCTCGTAACGCGATCGATAGTTATAGTTGAAGCAATGGGAAAGAATGGTTGGTCCGCAGCCACGGCGATAACTAGAATCTGACCGGTAATTTGTGAAATTACGCCAGACGCGGCGCTCCGGTGTTTTCCGCGGCGTTTCCCGTTTCCGCGACTTCATCCCTTAAGCCCGCTACCACCGTCGAGAATGATAATTATTATCTTTCTCGTTAGTTTCGGATTAAGTAGCTCCGTGATTCAAATTACGTTCTGTTTATACTTTTCCTCGGATATTTTCATTCTTGCTTATGCAGCGAAACGGTGTCTGGTCAATCGTAGAAATTATTTTCGAATATTTCTAATGCTAAAGTAGACCAGACTTTCTTAACAACGGAGAAATTGAAAATTCAAGATTATAGATACTGTCGTATTTTTACCGAGTGAAATGGAATTCTCGATTTATTTATTTCTATAATGAAACGAATATCCTTCTAAATTGTGGACACGGAAACAGCTTTGTATATGCATTTGAACCGACTAACGGTAATGCCAGACATTCGGAGAAAAAAATTACGGAAGCGTTCACGTTTATATTGGTGAACGGGTGGTACACGAAACGTGCAAACTTTCTGGAGCAAGTATAATGCACGTAGGAACGGTGGTTTGCGGAAGGCAGAACTGAGGGCTGAACATGTTAGTATTTACGTACACCGCCGCCACCACCGCCGCTCTTAGGCATCATCTCGAGCATGTAATGCATCTATGGTCCTGTGAACCAAACCCCTACCCTAAATACGTATCCTCCTCTTTTCGCTCTACATATGTATTTGTATACACGCTTGCCGTTTATGGGCCTTGAGCAATTTGAAAAAAGTTCTCGTACCGTTGTTCCGTTCGATCGAACCATTTTCAATGTTTTGGTTGCCCAACCACTCAGACTCGTTCTTTCCTTTCTTTTTTTATTCGGTTCAGTAATAACGTGTAGCGAAGCGTTACGTGTCTATGATACATCGATAGGTCCTTCTTCACTTCGGATTAAATGTAACGTGACTGCAGAGGTAAAGAAAACAAAAAGAATTTCGTTTTTTAAGAGTAAATGAATCTTTCAATAATCTGAGTTTGTTACACTCTGCGGAATGCTGTTTAATGCACTGGTTGAAACTACTTGTTCAATTTAAGTGCATGTTCTTTTAAATTAAATTACATGGTTTATGATGAAAAGAAATTTTAATTTTGATACCTTAGTACTTTGTCCCGCATTAATTACATTTTAAATGTGAATGCACAAACATATGTGTGAATTGATTGGGATTACGTTTTTTTAGACTTTTCAATTTAAACGTATAACGTATTCAAACAATGGAATTTCTTATTGATATTGAACATTTTGGTTAGCAAACGTTATAAGTAGGAGAATAAGGACATCTGACGATGAGTCTTGAGATTTCGAGCAATTACGAAAGCGCAGACGTGTTCAGTGAATTCTTGTTTGCTTACTAATCATTAGACTGAACGTGCGTTAGAATCCGTATTTTCTTCCATAGTAACTGACTTACACGATTTTGTATGTTTAATAAATTATACACTGCAATTTTATAAAAAGAATATATTTACGCATTTCATAATTACAGGTACATGAATGTAAATAGTTTAATACAGATAAATTGTTATAATACTCCAGCATTAAGCGCTTTGATAATAATTACGCCAATATAAATTAAGACAGTTATTATTCAATAACAACGTAAATAAATATGATAAAACAAAATCTAAACAATTAATAATTAAAAATAATGATCATCGCAGATACAAATACGTGTAAAATATATTTTAACGTGTTTTAGTATGAATGCAAAATGTCAAATTAATATACAGTGAACACTTATTTCATTTACAAGTATTAATTGACATAAACATTTACATTTAAAGAAATATTAGTACTATTAGTAATATTAATAGATATCATTTATCTCCACTTCCATCATTACACTTAGTTTCATTTTCAACTACGTTTTTACTTTGTTGAAATTCTTCTTCATCGTGTTTTAAAAATTCGATACTTTTTATGGTGTCGCCGCTAGATAAATCTGTGTCAATGATCTTCGTATCATTTTTTTCGACATTCGTTTTAGTCATTTCTATTTGGTTCAATTGCTCTGTGGCTGGTGCATCTGTCACGGCTGGTACACTCGTACCCTGTTGCACCTAAAAAAAACTTCATTTATTATCTTTTCTAATAAAGATAATACTTAAGGTATAATGCATTACCTGAAGAATTATTTGTATGGGTTCTCGTTTCGTTTCATATTCTAATGAATTACCTTTTCTATCTCTTTTCTTATAATCAATTCCAAATCTTAGTAATGGCCCTATGCCAAAATTAAGAGCTGCGCCAGACAAACACATTGGTATCATAATTATAACTACAGCTACACATAAGAAAAGCATAAATTTAATGATCCACGCATATGTCCATGATAAGCCATCTGAAAGAATATAAAGAAATCAGATATTTGTATATAAATGCATATAATTTTTTCTAAGTATTCTAAGATTCTAAAGTTGAAATCCTTATTTACCCGTTGCATTATTTATAAAAACAGAAATAACAGTTCCTATGTGAGTAACCGGATGCAGAATAACTGTAGTAATAAAATGGGATAATGCATGTGCAGGTGTAATTTTTAATTTTGGATTAGACATCATTGCTTCATAATATTTTTCACAATCTTCATTCGCTGTAAAAAAATCATATAACACATCATACATAACATCCTCAGAAATAATAAATATTGCATTTTATATAGTTTTCATATGCTCACAAGTTACAAATGAAACAAATTTATCCCACATGGTCATTTTGTCTGGTTGACAAGATATTGGTACATTTGCAAATTTCATTTGCTGTGCGACAGCCTTAATTTCCGCCTCCTTATGGAATATGTAATGAAAATTTCATGATACACTTCTGTAACTATACGGTTTTAGTTAAAAATTAATTTCACTCACTTGTACAAGTTGCCACCAAGTCATAAAGAAACTTGAAACAAATATAATTTGTATCATAATAAACAACGGAAATCTACGATTTTGTTTAAGCATTCTCAACATTAAACCCATCATTAATATTAGAAATACAATTATAGCTCCATCTGGCTGAAATATTAAAATTTTTAAAATATAATTGATATTTAAACAATTAAATATCAACAAAAACATAATAAAATGGAATGTAGACACATATTTTCTTACATGATCTTGAATAATCTTAAAAGCCATTTCAAATTTGTTAAGCAACGAATCAAAAAAGTATGTAACTCCAAAGATGTACTGAGGTTTTTTTATTACATGACTTAAAATTTCATCAACTTTTCTTAACGAAATTTTTTGTGGATGAAAATCTTGCAGGATTTTCATTTGTGCGTGAGATATTTCAATTTCTAATACTCCTACTAATGATATGTCATCCTCCTCCTATTTTTAAAAATTAAAATGTCAAATTCAGGTCTGCTTTTTCTGCCATATAAAAACATTACTTAAACGTTAAATATGCTATTACCTTTATATTAATGTTTGCTAATAATAAATTAATAAGACGCTTATAAAAAACTATTTCATGGTTTTCACAATTATTTACTTGGCTTACACAATTACATTCTTTTGTATCCTTGTTTTCACTCATAATTTTTTCTGAAGTATCTTCCCTAAAATTGTTAATAAATATCAATATTTCATTGTATAAGGTCAGTGTGAAACATCAATGAAGCATCAAATTATAATATAATTTCAAAAATATCTTGTTGTATTTTTAAAAAATTGCAGAAAATAATATTAATATAAGATATGGGTATATATTGTTTATATTCACGTTTTTATATTGTCTCCTGATTCCTTAATCATTCTCTTGTTATGCTTATCATAAAAAAATGAATGTGGATCAATCAAATCTTCTGAGTCCCTGTAAAATATCAATTGTTATAATATTAATGCAGGAATAATAAATAACAACTATTCCCTATGCTTCTTTCTAATAAAAAAGGATAAACTATAATTTCTTGTAAGAGCAAGAAAAAATTATATATATTTCAATAACTATGTATGCCTGTAGCATTCTAACGTAATATGCAAGCAAAGTGATTTAACTGATTACATAACAATAAATATAATGAATAATTTTAATATTTAATGTTAAAATACTGATGTGATGTCAAATGTAACTTTCTATGAAATTTTTTATTTAAACACTAAATACTTTCTAGTATTTATCCTACGTAAATGCTTTTAAAGATGTCAGAGCAGGGATTAAAAGAAATATGAATGTTACATTCTCTTAGAAAAATTATAGTGTATGACTTCATCCAAACAATCAATTCAACTAATCCACCTCCAGGTTTAAAAATGTAATTAGATCAAATTTAATTCAATACTCACGATACATTTTCAAAATAAGCTTCCTCTTCGCAATTAATAATAAAAAACATACAGCAAACATTAAATAATATATAAATAAACTGGCTTAAATTCTTCATATTAAACAGGTAACCGTCAATCAAAACGTTTCAAAACAGTCGGCGTTGCGTGCCTACAAAAATATCGATGCTGTCAACATTATTATAACCTCCATTAGAATACGGCATATTTTTTAATAAGAACATTACATGTAAACAATGCATGTTCAGTAAATGACATATGTTATTAAAATAATTTAACAAGCCATACTTACAATCATTCACTGTTAGATAAAATAATTCCAACTGAAACGAGGAATCCCATAAGTACATTTGAATGAATAGCAATGAAACAGGAGTACCACACTACAGTAATCGAAATATCGTATCATACAGGTTGTACCATGTAACACCTACGCGTAGTAGAGTACCTACCGCCTTATTTAGGTACTTACGTGTTTTTACATTCTACACAACTGATTTATTTGTAAGTTGGTACATTGAAAATGTACCTAACCTATAAGTATGATCGTGTAGCGGCGCGATCGCACGAAGCGCCATTTAAAACAAAAAAATCCCCAGATCACGAAGAGCGTTCAGTTGTTCTACAGGAACGACGAGTACACACGACGCGGAAACAGAAAATAAAGTATGATCAAAGGTGCGAAACGGGTTTACTTTATATACTCTCTGGAGGTTCTCCCACAATCGGTACATTCATGGCGCCATCAATAAAGAAATGCTGAAACAAGTGGTATTTCCAGCAGAATCATTTTCTGCTAATGGACCTGTAATACCAACAACGTCTAAATTACCCATAGCGTTTTTATATGTTTTATAAGCTGTATAATATAATATTTATTAACTATTTTACCACGAATGATTAATACATCTATGTTCTTTAAGATATTTTAATGAAATGAATAACTGTTGTTAATAATGAGAGTTTAATTTATAAAATTGACAATCTGTACAATAAAAATGTTCTTCACGAAAACATTGGTAAAAGAGATTTTTTCGGACTCGTCGGAAAGGAAAGGTTCTTCTTTATCACGACTAGTCTGCCACAATACTTCTTTTCCACTTTGTGTCGGCATCGTAGCAAATTATACTACCGACGCAAGTGTTGATTGATAGTGCCAAAATGTTTGTCTTTTTCTCACACGATTGGTATCTCAGACCGTCGGATACAGGATCCATAAAGTACTTAATGAAGCCCCTTGTCGATGACTAAATGTAAGTAATTTTTACCCCAATTGTAGAATTGCGAATTAATTCAGGGTATTTGATTGAGAAATAATCGTTAAGAATAGACATTTTTTTAAATCTCTTTAAGATTTTCTTTAAAATCTCATTTTTATTTTAAAAAACTGATCTTATGGCAGAAGAAGAGGAAGAAGAAGAAGAAGAAGAAGAAGAAGAAGAAGAAGAAGAATCCTTTATGATTGAAATGACGAACCTATAGTTTCTACGGTTTATAACTGCAAAAATAAATATTTTTTTATAGATTTACTTTTCGTAATAATCAGTAAGAACTGATGATTTGTAGCCTCTGTGTCTGCTATTTCAATCACTATTCTTAATAACGATATTAAAAACAATTGAATATGGTAAATTAAGATTTGTGAATTTTTTTTATCTTTCCCCAGAGAACAATCCTGATTTACCATTGGCCTATTTTTGCCTACTTTCCAATAGAGATATAATTTTTTTATTGCACTTTCCTTGTAATTTCAGTGCTTCCATTTCACAACTATTGCACCCTCTTTAGAATTCGTACAAACATGATTATTAAACACAAAGTTTAAGATTTTTGGATACGAATTTTGGTCTATTCATATATCTAATTTTGTCTAGATCGAAATGGTTCAAAGTCAAAAGAAGTCGACTTTTTTTGCAGCACAACTAATTGTAAATCTGCACTGTAGGCATTTATATTGATGAAATTACTGCTTCACACGCGATTTTCAAATAAAATCAATTAGTTATCAACAAAATGTAATTTAGTAGTGTATAATCTTCTTATTTTATAGTAATATTTAATTGCTTAATTATTGAATATACTGTATGCTTAAATGCAATCTTTGGATTATGTAAGGTCATAGACGAGGTCTCGTCTGTGGTAAGATGCATAACATGCTCAGTTGAAACAGTCTCTTGCATTACAATAGGATTGTATATTAGAAAACTGCGTTATGTATAAACTGAAACCAAATATCTAATTTAAAAATCTTGGTTAAATAAATGTGTTTTTAAAAATCTATATGTAAATGTTTTTGAAAAAAGTTATTCGGTCGATACACTTCCGCATACCTATGACTGGGCTCTGACGCAGTCATATACAGAAAGCTTGTGTATGCTCGTGGAAGTGCAGTGTGATGCATGTTCTGTAACGCGAAGCTGCCAACAACAGAACAAAAGAAGTATATTTTGTAAATTAAAATGGAAGTTTTGAATCATTTTGATCACATTGATGACAGGTATTTGTTGTATACTTCTTAATAATTTCAATAAACAAATAATCTCAAATACTTAACACGAGTTGAAGTACGAATAATGAGAGCAACCGTAGTTTTTTCTAAACAATGTTTTTTCATAATTTTTGTAAATTAAAGGTAATATTAAAGTTGGAATTGTTTTATAATCGTACATGTATGTTTGTCATGTAGTGATTCTGAAAATATCTAATTACGTTTAGAGTATGAGGTTAATAGAGAAAGATCTTTTTAATTTTAGTGTTTTGTAGTGCCTTAAACACATATGTTTACTGCTTTGAATTTAATTTTTAAACTCTTTAATCTCTTTTCGTATTTGTTTGAAAATGTTTATAATATTACAGTGTGGATGAAAATACTATTAGCAATGACAATGTTGGGGTAGTTCTAGAAGAAGCAGAAATAATAGATTGTGACACAGAGATAGATAATGTTAAAGAAGAAGATAACATACGCTATCAAATATGTCAAGTAAATAGAAATGATAATGCAGTTGCATATAGAGTAGTACAAGTTGGTGAAAGTCAAGCAAATAATACAGAATTATCAATAACTACACCTTTAAATAACACAGTTCAAGTTTTAACATCACCTATAAATGGTCAGTTATACGTACTCAGTAATGGCAATGAAGTAGTTGCAACAGAGTCTGCAAGAACAGTTACGCCACGTGTGAAACTCCAATTAGATAATCCACAAAATATTCTTACTACTATTAAAAAAGTAATAATTTTGTTGTTTGTAATTTTATTGTAATTATTGAACAACAACAATAATAATAATAATTTATACATATGATCTCTCATAGAGGGATGAAAGGAGAAGAGTAACACATAATGAAGTGGAAAGACGACGTAGAGATAAAATTAATAATTGGATTGCAAAACTGGGTAAACTTTTACCTGACTATGAACAAAGCTCAACAGGAGACGGAGACGTAAAGACAAATTTTGAATTACAGGTGATGTACATTATACTTTTAAAATATGCTATTTATTAACTGTTTGATTGTAATTTTATTAATAGAGTAAAGGAGGAATATTAGAAAGAGCATGTGAATATATAACAGAATTACGAGATGTACAAGAAACCCTTTCACAAAGTTTGGATGAAAATGCACAATTATTGGAAGAAGCTAAAACATTAAGACAAGTTGTGAATCAATTAAGGAAAGAGAATTCTGAACTGAAGGTTCAAATTTCAAAAAATTCAACTTATATACTTGGTACTTAATATTTCTTAGTGTAGATAAGAAATAAAAATAGATACAAGCTTTTTTAAATTTCTTTTTTGTTAGTACAATTGTATTTGTGCATTACATATTTTTAATTGTACTTGTATGAAGTTCAATATGTGGGAGATATGCGACCAAGTGCAATAAAGTAATAATATGTAATAATTATAAAATGTTTATTTACATATATTTAACTAAGTTTATATATATTTATATATATTATGAAAACAACTTTAAACATGTTATGTAATTTCAACTGTACATATCATAAACAATAAGTATTTATAACGTGAACAATCGAGCAAAGAGAGTAATTTATTATTAAATCATTAAATTAGATATACAAATATACAAAACATCGTGCTATATAATTAATAGTTAATCATTATCCAAAAGTTATATGTCATTTAACTTTAAAGTCACTTATTACCTACATTGTTTCCACTAACAAAGAGGTCTACAATATTTACACTTATCAAGTATAATATCATCTAAGTATTTACATAAAACGAAATGATACATTATTGTATCTGTTGTTTTTAATTTATTATTGTAGAATGTATGTGCATATTGACTATATTGATAATTGAAATCACATATGTATTGACAATATGCACATACAACAACCAATATCAAATACAAGTAAAAGTATATGCGGTTACATATATATGCAACAGCTCAAACTGTTTTTACTGTAACGCCTAGTAATATTATTGCTTTGAAGCACATTATTCGACATTTGTGCAGAATTTATTTCAATTTAACCAGAGTAATAGAACAAATTATTTGATCCATAATTACAAAGAGAATAAATATTAAACTATGAACTTTATATTTGTTTACACCTGGATCACTGTCAAGATATGTAGGTAATAGCCAATACAAAGAACAAACGTTATCTAGATATCTTGTTGACCATACATTCTGTGAAAATTTATACTATTACTCTGGTAATTTGCAGAAATTTCATCAGTTGACTCATGAAAGTGAAATTTATATGAATGAAGTGTTCTGAATTGCGTACTATGCAGTATTATTGTTTCAGCATTTGTAGTTAGTATGAGACATCCTCTTCTTATGTTTAGTTACATTGGCCATCAAAATTGTTCTTATACAACAATGCGTACAGAGAAGTGTCGCATTGAAACAAATAAATTTGTCCTATAAAAATAACTCTTGAATGAGTTAAATTCAGCAACAAATGTTTCGCTTCTAATCTAAACATCAACGGTTAGTGTCCTCTGTACAGTTGAGTAGGAATCTTGCTCCTTCATATCATTATCATCATCATTATCATCATCATTATCATCATCATCATCATCATCATCATCATAATCATCATCATCGTCATCATATTGTCCTCGTCGTATAGTAAATATAATGCCAGAAAATAAGCAAAAATATATTTCTGTGACTTGTTATTTCATTTGCAAATATTTTTTAACAACTTCTATTAACTTACATGTGTTTGAAGATAGAGAACATGAAAAATTCCACAGATACAAAATAATGATTACTCTTGTTTTCTGTTTTCATTAATGTATACCTTGAACATGTACGTATGCATTAAGCATAACGAGAAACTATACAAATGAACGAAGACATATATAGTAAACATATTGGCAGTGTTTAAAACTTTCACAATCGGTGCATCAATTTTTGAAAAGTTAATTGAATTATCTGTGACGACGAATTGCACAGACAAATTGTTTACAATTTATTATCTGCAAGTTTACATACAAAACACAGAGATTTTTGCTGGTTGACTGGCTTTCGTTACGATATTCTCGTAACGCTTTCTTCTGTACAAGAGTAGAAAAACTTGAAAGATTGGAAATTCATTTTTTAGAAACTGCTTCAGCAGCAGTAGAAAAAGAGGCTTGATATGCGAGTATTTACACATTTAGTAGTACCTGTATATTTAATACTGTCCCTCTGTTATGACGTAGAAATATAATTTTCTCCGTCCCTTTAGCAAATTTAAAATCTTCATACAATCTACCATGAGTATTTTACGATTACTGCTTTAGATGAAGTAACGACAATCTTTTAGGCAGTAAAAGGATTATATCGTGTGATTTTGCTTGAGGTTTGTATCTACAGTACGTGCTCTGATACGTTTCGTGTCACTGAGAGAAAAATTTTTAGACTCTGCATTTAATAATTTTATTTTAATGTGCGTTCTAGAATACTATCTAAGGTATCGAACAATGGAGTATATGCAAACATTCTTTCAGGCAGAAACTACAAATAGTTGTGTGTGATGAAACTTGCTTATAGTATTACACTTTTCTCTCAGTGGTATCCTCGTACCAATTCTTTTATAGACATCTTGGAAAGAAGCATTCCCGTTGTCAGTCTTTCGATTATTATAAAAAAAAATGTATGGCCATTGCTAATCCATTCAATGCTTACAACACTCATTCAAGCAGTCAAGTAACAATAAAGTTTTATCACTGTTTCTCTATACGATCGTGTGATAATAGTGACTAGTACTTTCTTTTTAGTACCTCAAAAGCTCGCTAGTTTCTTAATACATGTGCTATCTACCTCTAACAATAACTGCATTTAATTCTCTAGTTTATACTGCATTTCTGTCAGTTCTGATACTTACTAACATGATCACGTTAAGAATTGTTTCATTTCCATTGTTTGGTATAGTTTCTTAATACATTCTTCTCTCTTATATTTTTGTCCAGAAACATTTGCTTAAACGTTGTGTGTATATTCACCTTTATATGAACTTAATTAATTTAATTTGACAGTATTTCTTTTTGAATTATTACTTAGAACAAACAACGTTTATTATTCACTAGGAAAGCCTAAATACCTTGTCACTCCGTGCAGTGATCTTTGTGAATGTAAAATGACAAAGCGTTCAATGAAGAATCTTTCCATGAGGCAGTGAAATAAATATCGTTGGCAATACAGACTTACGATCTCATTTATCGAACCGTATACTTTTAAATTAAATAATAGTACTAAAATTGGACATATGAGAATTGTAGTGTTCCGACTACTCTAGTGACAGGATGTATCAATGCTATTGAATTGTTAATACATTTATACAGTGAAATTTAACGATCATATATGTTAATTACCTTCGTTCCATACATGTGACGAGCGCTTACGATCGTTTGCGTTCCTAGTGAGTGAGGGCAAGTACAATGTCTAATTTCCATGGAGGAAGGAAGTGAAGCTAATTCACTTCAATGAAACTTTTATACAGCTTCTTAAATATTTATTAACGTGCATTCAAGTCTAGGTCGCGGGGTAACGATTAAGCGCTTCTCGTCAGAGATTCATAGGTCAATGTATGGTACGAAGGTAGGCCTGTCTCAGGACGGCTGAGGTCGTGTACTCTTTTTGCTGCTACCAAACATAAACCAAGTGCCAACCTTACGTCCTAACGAGTTTGTTGCGCCTTGTCCAACCATACTAGGCATCTCGTAAGCTGATTCTCTTTTGTACGTTTTGTCTGCAATTATACGTGGCACAAGATTGTAATGTATCTTAAATTTGGTAATATCTCTTTAAGACGAAGGTGACTGTTTCACTTACTGCGAGGTTTGATTGGCGGTCTATTCTGTTGTCTCGTTGCCACGAGCCTGGCCAATTGCCTGGCCGCAGCTGGGAATTCCAATCCATCGTTTCTATCCTGAGCGACTAATCTCCGTTCCTCTGCCATGGCTGCCAACCACCGACGCTTTTCTTCTGCCGTGCGGCAACAGAAGAGTAACCATTTATCACGAACGCAACTGTATATCTTTAAACAATGCCTTACTGTCACTCCCGATTGGTGATCTGTAATAAATAAAACAATACGAGTTATATAATATAATTTTAATTCAACAAATAGTTCATTGTTGGAATTACCTTTCCCATCGGGAACATCAATCACCTCGCTCGTATCAAGGTAAATACGGCCTTTAAAGACATAAGTGTTTCGTTTTAGAATATCCTTTTTACAATAAACTAACTGATGATCAAACAGGAACAAGGTGATGCTGTTTGTCCACATGCCAGTGGTTACCCTCATTGCTTCGCCTTGATGAATTAATTGAGACGAAACTTCTATGAGATCTTCGCCCTAAAATATCAATTAGAAACAACGTGATTAACATTATATATTATTAATTTACGCAGAAGAAATATTGTGCTATATTTAATCAAAATTTATAATAAATCAGTACCTCCCAACCTTCGACCCTTAATTGCCACGCAGCTAATTTCTCGAGGCTCTCCATTCGTCTTTTCCTTTCATTAATCAAAACTGCAACTCCTCGCATCGCTTCGAGGGCTTCCTGGATTTTATGATAATCCGGGTGATCGGCTTTTGTGTATTTCAACAATTCTGCCAATTGCAGTGGATATTTACAAATCCGTTGCACAGGCGTCAACAAATATCCATCCAGAGGAATCTCGATCAAACCCCTCATTAGTCTACAAGCTTCGAAGAATTTGCTATAACGATTATGTTGGTACAGTTCCTGCAGCGTAACGGTAGCCATCGGATGACTGTTGCAGTATTCCGAGTACATACGAAAACCCGCCCTCTAAAAATCAATTTAAGCAACACAAATTATAGCGAAATTCATCCTACTACCAACGCAGCTTCGCTTTTCCGGGTTTCTTACATGATTCAAGAAACATTCCCCGACGCAGCTTTTGTACGGAGCATTCCAGTCTATTCGAGATTCGAGATCCTTCAAGAACTCGGATTGGAAGTCAAGCAGTTCCTCGAGATTGATGAATATAGTTTCTATTTGTCCCTCGTTGAACATGTCCGTTCGTCGTCGGCACTCAGCAATGTAGCCTTCCGCCACGTCCCTCAGAATTTTCACGAAGTCTCGTTCAGTCTGGACCAACTCGCGAACCACGCTCGCTCTGACCTGCTCGTTTGACAGCAACGAAATGCTTGTACGTCTCCTCAGTTGAGAATTAGAGGTGCCGCCAGATGCCATTGCCGCCAAGCAATCCTCGACCGTGTCTTCTTGACTTACACGTAACTGTAACACGATGGTTCTAGTAAGATACGCAATTTTAAGGGTGACAAACAATTTATCGTCGAATGGAATGGACTGCATACCCTAACAAATGCAGCCGGAAACCAACCATGCTCGCCCCTACAGTTACCCCACCACCAATCTTTATCCAGGTTGTCCAAAACTTCGATCACGTCGCCAGCACGAAAAGCTAGCTCCTCTGGTTCCATCGCTACGTGGTCCCAAACAGCTTCAGCAAGGATCACGACCTCCTCGTCCATCGTCTGCTCGAACGACTTCTTTCTGTCCGACAAGGAAGCGATGGAGGACTCCGAGTCGGACATCATCTCGTCGTCCGAGGTTCCTCCCCTTCCATCCTGTTCGTCCTCCGACAGGACATTTCCACCGGGCAACCTCGCACCTGTTTTCAAACGAATCGACTGTCTTTACCATGAAAACGATTGACTCGATCTTAATGATGATCTATCCGTAATGCATTGCGTCCTGGTTGCACAGATTTCGACCGATGTTGGTGTTTCCTTCAAAGGGGTCTTCCAACTGTGTGACAGTTATAAAAACTCTACTGTCTTACTCTAGTATTTTCTCTTCGAAAACTATTCGAATGATTGGTCGTTAATTGGAATGTATACGTTTAATATATTTAAAAAAGATAATTCCTAAAGTTTACCGTATTCTTCGACTGCCACAACAGGAAGGCCCCTCAGTTTGCAATACAAGAAAGCAATCACATATTCGAGAAAATCACCCTGCAGCTATCCATCGTAGTGGTTGGCAGCGAAAGATTAAAGAAATTGTTTATGATGTTTGTGTACACGAGGGTAACCGATCGCTCTCGTCGAACTTCGCGAAAATTACTTTGGAAAGGAATTATTGGTAGCAAAGGAAGGGTAACCTTTTTATCTTTACAAGCTTTTCCACGAAGCTATCGAAAAGCGATCAGTTTCTACTGTAGCTTGCAAACAAAAGCGTATTCACAGGAAGCAGTTCTTACAGAGTGAAGATATTAACACGTTTAATACAGGAGTGCTCCGCATTCCGTACTGTCAAGAATTCTTCTTACAGGTGCGTTCCGTTACAACGATATGAATGCGTTAAGATCTTTACAAGGGTGCATGCTGACTCAGAGCACACTCGGAAGTGGTGTCTAGTGAAACTGGATACCATTGGAGCGGAAATTGTGCACTAATCTTCGTCAACGGGCTTGCTACTAGTGAATCTTCCTCGCCAAGCGAATAAGCAAATGAATTGATAATGAGTATAGTAATTTTAACATATAATATATTAATATACGTATATTAATACGTATTAACCCAAAATCGAATGGTTCAAACACACAAAATTTTAACATATATCAACAAATTTTCATACATTTTTTAATTGGAAAAGTTCACAACGAACAAGTAATACATTGTTTTTCGTCAAACGAAATTACCTTGCTTCTAAACAAGTTAAAAAACGAAGTTCACGTTGTGTAATGAAAACGAGAGTAAAGTAACAAATTCTCAATCGATTGTTCATTTGCTTGGAGGAAGCGGAAGGAATTTGTTTCTACGTTAGAACTCAGACAGCGTCAGTCGATGGAACCGACCCTGCGTCGACGAACGTTAGCTTTACCTGCAGTTTTGGTGCGCATCAAGGGTGATAGTTGATTGATACCCAGTGGTTGGCTGAGCGAACGCCTTAGATTTGTCCGAGTACTCCTCCCTTTCGCGTTACTGGGATCAAAATGAAATCGCAATTAGTATTTTTTTTCATCCGCGCACGGCCGAATAGAGGATCAACAAGCTTTGTGTTTACGTAGAAGCATCGATACAACATTCAGCAACGAATTACAATAGGTAAGTATATACACACGACAAGGTAGAACATGTTTATACAGAGTGGTTCTGCAGATCGGCCTACCTCGAACAATCGCCCATTGCTTTGTGCACGTGTCAGTAAATTCTGTAGAGAATTGCCTTGATGAATGGTACAATCGAATAAGGGAGAAATTTGTACTTTCGAATGGTAGCAATTGTTCAAGTATGCACCATTCATCAACATGTATCCTATACATTTGGAAGAACTTGTTCAACTGTCAGACTATTTCTAGTTATTCTAGTATATTCAATAAATCTCTAATAGCAATTCTGGATTAAAATTATTGGAAAGAAGGTCGATCCTAAATGATAATAAAGTTATTTACAATTTAAAACAATACAGACACTATATGTATAATGGAATTACGCAAACAGAATACAAACAGTTTTAAGGTGGTTTGCCTATCGATGGGAAAGAACCACTCCGTACATGGTTACGCGTGGCAGTCCAACTTGTTTTACGAGGAAAAACGGAAAAGAAGGTGGTTTGTTATAATACCCGTCTACCTACCACTATTCTCCCTCGATTTACTGGAAAGGTTCGAGAATAAAGAATTTAAATTTCCTTCAAGGACAATTTTCAAGGAGTTGTTTTGATGATTGTCTAATGCCGTGCTATGATTCGTTTCGATCCGAACAGAAACGAAGTATAGGAGGAAGAAGAAGGAGAAGGAGAAAGAAACAGCGAGCCGTTCATACAACGCCCGTTTTAAAATTGAATATAATTGAGCTTCGAGT